TCGTCATCATCCTCTTGCGGTGGCTGCAACGACCCAGAGAGAGATGGAGACGATGTAGTACCTGGTTCGCAACAATGCTTGGTGCGTGGAGAGAAAAGGTCGCCGCATGTGCCACATGCGGCGTAACCAGGTGCTTGGCTGCTCGAGCGCAAGGATCCAGGAGGAGTCAAATTGAGTAGTAGCTCCTTTCCTCGACCTTAATGCTGACGTTTTTGGTGTGTAGCCAGATTCCTCGCCGTCAGGTTCGTTGATCCTTCACTGATGCAGCGGGGACATGAATACCGTACTTCCGTTGGGCATCGTGGCGCAGGTCCAGGTACGGGTGATGGTGGTGCCAAATCTTGGTTCATGTCACCGCTCATTGCCGATGCCACTGGAGGCTCCAGCGCAAAGCGATTCCACGTCAGTTCATCAGTCTACTACTGCTGCTGCTCCTACTGCCTTCCACCACACTACTGAGCGTGCGTGGTGGAAGTGGTGATCTCACACGAATTGGCCAAGGAGGTGTGTGTGTGTGTTTTCGTCCTGTTTATTATGGCGACAGTCGCCCATTTTTCGTGGTGAGACGTGTACTACACTTTTCAGCGTATGTAGCGCACTTCACTTTGCAGTGTATTTTTTCGTACAACTACAACCATCCAGGGTCACACAGGAGGGGGTAACACCAGGGCTTTTTTCTTCTTTTTATTTCTTTTCATGCCCCACCTTCCTCCTGCGGTGCGTGTTGAATTTTTATTTTTATCGCGAGAAGGGTCCAGCCTTCCCTTTCCCTCGTCAACGGTGCTAACGTCGAAGGTTGGTACTCACGAGAGCTTGTCAGCTATATTTCGCTTTCACCCGCACATTTCTTAGAATTTTCACCGCATGGGGATTCGAACTCACGACCTTTGACTAGCGGATTACGAGGACACCACTAGACCACCGGGGCGATATATGCTGTAGACGCACTCCGGGTGTGCAGCACCCGGAAGACCTCTCTTAAAACACGACCTTCTCTTAATACGGTTTATGAGAGGTTTTCTCTTAAACCGTACGTTCGGTTCAAGAGAATTTCTCTTAAACCGATTATATGTCTTTTACCAGGGTCTAACATGATGGAAGTGATGAAAAGAATTCTTTTTTTGTTTTCCACAATATTTCGTGCGTTTTAGGGCCCTCACCAAGCGTGATCCCTCCTTCTTGTTGCGCACGAAGCACAACCGATGTAACTATTACGTGGTCTCCAAGGTATACTCCGACCTAATCTCGACAAACAGCAGTGCATATCATAGGATAGCTGCCAACAGAACTCAGAGACGTGAGCATCACACGCACAAAACACGCAAGACCAGTGACTCAAGCACCTACAGCAGTACAAGTAGTACACCCTACAGTTCCAACGATTGTCTGACAGTTTTGGGGCGGGACAATAAAAATAAACACGTGCCCCAAAATTTTGACCGACAAGCAAATATGCGTTGGAAAGCTCTCGCCAGCGGCGTTCGAAAAAGCCTTTCAAAATGGGTCGCAACGCTCTGGATCAAAAGTTATGGGCCTATTACCATCGCCACCTAAGGTACTTCATCCCACCAAATCCTCCATATCTCGACAACCACGGGGTTGCGACCGAAAAAAATTGCAGATAATTGAAGCTCTCTTTCTGTTCTATTTTATGGCGTTGGTTCCATTTCCGAACCTTTTGGGGCAGGCCCCGAAAAAAAACCTAAACCGATTTTTTCAAAAAAATGTCCACAACAGCCCCAACGGCTGAAAAACAAAAAGTTGGCGGTGGACGCCCTGCACGCCCCATGACCTTCACGCTTCGCCTCGAGGCGCTGACGGCCATCAGGGACGCCCTGACTAGGCGTGGTGGTACGCTGACCCTTGTAACTCAAGTGAAGAGCGCGAAAAAGTATCGTCTCCAGCTGACAGCAGACCTGTCGGATGGGTCCAGCAGCATGTGGCGCAGCGACTACATCAAGTACCCAAAGGGACAAACCAAGGCACGTGACTGGTCGGCCGAGGCAAAGTGGGCTGCTGCCTGGCGGCCATCTTCTTCTAGCGGCAGCGCCGTTCTCTCCACAGAAGATGCGAGGCGTGGCAGCAACGACACACCCCCGCCGCCGCGGGGAAAAAGGCCGCGAGACTGTCAGCCTGCGGCTGAGATCCTCACACCACCTCCAAAGCGCCCAGGATACGAAGGGGCTGGCCGACCGAAGGGAACCTTCGGCCGGAAGAGGTTGCGCGCAATGTTGGATAGATACAGAGAGCGAATCGAGCTTGGCCAGGTGACCTGCGGCCGCTTGGAAGTGCGGGACCTCTCCAGCGCGATGTTGGATGCGGCGCAAGAGGTGGAGAAACATGAGCAGGACTGGCGACCGGCGTTTCTCAAGCGCCAGAGCAACAGGGGTGTGTGTAGGAGAGAGGCTCTGCGCAAGCTCGCAAAGCATACGACGGTCATGACCGTGAAGACGTGCTGAAGTACCGGGTCGAGACGTATCTCCCCGCTTACTTCGAGCATCGCGACTACACGGAGATCTGGATCGACGCGAGCATGGAGGAAGTTCGATCCTGGGAGGTGGAAACGCAGCCGAGGGACATGAAGGAGGACGGGCGTGTTTGGGTTTGCGTGCATGCCTTCGCAGAAACCCTCTCCGAGTTCCATCCGGATCTACGAGCGAGGGTCACCAGCAAGAAAAAGTACGCCGATGGCAGAAGAGCGATATTTTGCTACCAGGACGAGTGCATCTACAGGGCCCACGACGGGGAGAGCAAGGCGTGGTGGCCGCCGATGATGCACGGGCTGAAAAAGAAGGGAGAAGGACAGGGCATCATGATTTCCGGCACCATCGTGGGCGACGTCGGATTCGTCGAGGGCACTCAAGACGACATCGACAAGGCCCAAGATCTGCGGCGCGAGCGCTGCCGCATTTCGGAGGAAAAGCACGCAGCAGGTGATCACACCAGGCCGGAAAAGTACCGCGACATCAACATGCTCTACTTCGAGGGCGAGGGCGACGACCGCAAGTTCTCGACGTACTACAAGTTCGAGTACGGCAAGAACAAGGAGGGCTACTGGACGGGGGAGAAGATGATCGAGCACATGGCGGATGTGTTGGATCTGTTGGCCGTCAAGTTCCCGAGGCACAGGCCCATCTGTTTTTTCGACTGGTCATCGTGTCATGATTGCGTTGAGGAGGGGGCACCGAGTGTAACTAGGATGAACGCAGGGTACGGGGGGGTGAGAAAGGGTCAGGAGATAGCTCCTCAGAATGCAACTACCATACTGGAAGACACACCTAAACTGAAGGTAGGGGCGGTGCAGCACCTCACCTTCCAGCAGGGAGAGTATCCATTCTATGAGCCAGGCGCCACCGATCACGTAGGCAAGGTCAAGGGGATGAAGCAAATCCTGTTTGAGAGGGGGCTTTGGATCCCAGGTATGACCATGTCGGGGGGCAAGAAGGGCCAGGAGCCTAACAAGAAGATGAGCATGCCGGCGGTGTTGCGCGCGCAAAAGGATTTTGCGAACGTCGACTCTAGCCTAGAGGTTCTGCTGAAGCGCCACGGAGGGGTTGCGCTCATGCTTCCAAAGTTCCATTGCGAGTTGAACCCGATCGAGCTTGTGTGGGGTAGATCTAAGTGGTGGGTACGTAGGAACTGCAAGTACACTATCGCGTGCTTGCGAGAGAACGTTTCTAAGAGCTACGGGGTACACAACTTGAGCCTAGACATTGTTCAAAAGTTCTGCAGGAAGGTGGCCAACTTCCACGCGGTGTACGACGCCGGGCTTACGGGCGCCGAGGCGGTAGAGGCGCAAGAGAAATGCAAGTCGCACCGTAAGCCAGCTCCATCCGAGTACATTAACCCCAAGTAGTGTATGCTATGATCGCGGCGGTACGTATGTACGGGGTTCGGAAGAACGACCTCGAGTTTGGCTTCGGTCGGTGCCATTTTTTCCAGGGAGTTCGTTGTGTTTTTTTTTTCGCCCAGACCGGCTGCGTTTCCCGGTCAATGAGATCGGTATTGAGCGTGATGTACTACTGTATGTATGTACATACTGTACTGCATGTATGTACATACTGTAGACTAACGTGTATTGTGTACGATTGTGAAAGTAGACGAGTGTAAATAGCGAGGTTTCCCGACGATGAAGCTAAAACAACCAAACATCACGCGTTGCCACCTAGTTTTGCGACCGGAAAAGGGGGGTACAATATCTTGTGCCCCTCTTTAAATGGGTATATATAGTAATAAAGTCTTTGTATTTATTTTTTTAGGGCGCCATCGTGTTCGTCTGGTCAAACCCCGCCGTTAGCAATCAAGAACAAAAAAAAACGACATGATTATGACAGCGTTTGGCGAGATACTGGCCGAAACGTTTCATCCCCTCCTCCCAAAAAACGCCTGGAAAAACCTATATGAGAACCACGAATTCTCAGGAACGTCTCAAATCGATTTGGTCCCCGAACAACTCTTGTGGCATTTGCGACGGAGATCAACACTAAAAAAAAATAAAATGAAAAAAGTTAATATTGATGAAGTTATGGCCGGTCAACTAAAATCGGCGGGACAATCGTTGGAACTGTACCCTTAAAAAAAAAACAGATGTCCATGAAAATCGCCTGTGGGCAGCTTCTGCAACTTTACATGAAGTCTGCCATGCGTGTTTGCTTCGTTTTCTTTGACCCAGCCTCGCTCATCCAGGCTAACTTCGCCTTGCGAAGATGGTAAGCTACCCCGGCCATGCTGCACCTCTCTGCTATTTCTTCGAGGTCTCCGAACTTCCTAGATACGTCAGCGTACGGTGGCGGACGAGGAGAGACCAGGGGCTGCGTACACTTTCCCTCGTCTCCCGCCGAAGAGTCGGCCTCGTCGTCGTCCGAGTCTATGTTCAGTTGGTCCATGTTCAGGTGGGCAAGCGACTCCTCACAGAGATCGTCCTTCAGATCTTCAATATTCGCCTCCGCTATACCCTCTTTTTCCTCTACACGCAACCATGTCTGCACGGCTTTCATGGAAGCTTGGGTTGGCGTTGCGCCAGGTGCCAACCCCAGACCCTTAAGCGCCTCGCCAAGGTCTTCATCGACAGTTGTCTTCTTCGTCTCAAGAGAAAGACGCTGCACCAAGTCCGTCAACTCTTCGAGACTCTCCTTCTTGTTGCGGATATTCTTTCCCACGTCCTGGTCGAGGTCCGTGTGCACCGCAGGAGGAAGGATGTCACATTTCCTCCAGCACCTTGGAAACGATGAATAGTCAAAGTACGCGGGAAGGAGAGAGAAACGTGCACGGCGAGAAAAGGAAAAAACAGAACGAGTCGAACGAAAAGAAAGCATTTTATCATTATTTCAATTGAAACAAAACTTGCAAGATGATGGCGTCAGTTAATAATTTCGCCAACCTGCAATATACGTGGTAACGGTATGTGTCTAGAGGGGCGAAATATACAGCAGTTTTTGAATAATGTCGTGAACACCACCATACGGACACCCCTCTTGATTGTCTCCGGCAAAACTTCCTTCCACGCCTCGAGGCCTAGCTCAGCTGCGTCCAGGATGTGAGGCTGCGCTCCTTCCGCGAGCCCCATGCAGCCTCGAATCACCCTGCGTTCCTTCGCCTGCTCCCGTAGCTGCGCCGCCGACGTCATCGTGTCGACGCGAATCCCCAGCAGCTTCGTCCTGTACCGCACTTTCCAGGCTGCGATGATCCCGGCATCCATGGGCTGGTGCTTGCTCGTGCAGTTGGGTGGCAGATCAAGAATCTTCACCTGCTCCTTGGGGTCTACGAGGTCGGCATGGCTGCTGTGGTTGTCCATGATGAGAAAAACCTTCTCGCTGGTGACGGAGCGCACGTGTGGCAGGAACACTTGCGACCACCACAGCTTGAACACTCGCGCGTCCGAGCACGCGTTCTTCTGGCTGAAGTACTTGATGGTTGAGCCCCGGATCTTGAAGCACCGGGGCTCCTTGGCTGTGCCGATAAAAGACAGCGGCACCTTACGCCCGCTGGCGCTCGTAGCCATGTAGGCGGTGACTCGATCCTTCGCTCTCATACCTTTCACGCCTCGCATGGTCTTCTTGAGCTCTGATGGTGCGAGGTATGTAGCCTTGGGCATGATCCTGTAGCACTACCGGTTTCGTCGGCGTTGTATACGCATTCTGGGGCATACTGAGCGCACGTCTCGCGGAGTACTCTGAGGCGATCGGCGATGGCTTCGTCGTCGACGCTGCCTGCTTCCCCGTGAAGTGTACGGGAGTGCAGGTTGTTGCCCTTGGCANTGAGCTCTGATGGTGCGAGGTATGTAGCCTTGGGCATGATCCTGTAGCACTACCGGTTTCGTCGGCGTTGTATACGCATTCTGGGGCATACTGAGCGCACGTCTCGCGGAGTACTCTGAGGCGATCGGCGATGGCTTCGTCGTCGACGCTGCCTGCTTCCCCGTGAAGTGTACGGGAGTGCAGGTTGTTGCCCTTGGCAAACTTCTTTACCTCTTTACCCACCCCTCGGACGCGTTGAAGCCGCTGTACTGCACACGCTCGGCGTCCGTAGATGCTGCGTTCTCGAGAGCACGACGAGCTTTGCGCCCGAATGCCTGGATCGCGTCCCGGTTGACAGGCATTCTCAGTGCCCTCGCCTGCACCAACATTTCCATGACTGCTTGCTCCACCTGGAGAAGAAAAGAGGACATATATCATTCACGGATTTAGCAGCTGTAGTGTGTGCACTGCTGTTACTGCTCTGTTGTATACTTCATTTCATCCTACAGCAAATACTGCACGGCATGATACAGCGTACCCACGCCACACTAGCCGGTTGCTGAACAAAAACGGCCACAAACACAAACTCAGCCCCCTTCGTAGACTTGGCGCCGGGCATGGAGACTGCTGCCTGTTGTCTGATGTCTGCTTCCTTAGCTCTCCACCCGTACAAGGTGCTCACCCCGATCTCCATATCCTTCGCGATTGCTACGCCGCTCATGCTCTTCAAAAGGTCGAGCGCCCGAACCTTGTCTTCGAGCGTCGGTCGTTTGCGGTTTTCGGCGCCACGAACTTTCCTACGTGCGGTGTTGCCAACGGGTTTCAAGCTGCCCAGTGCACCCGCTCGCTTCTCCTTCCCCGTTGCCCGCCCGTCCGGGCAGGGGCGCTTCGAGGATGCAGCCCCAGCAGTCGAGTCTGTGCTTGATTGCGGTTACACGAGTTGACACATCCGTGGCAAACACTGCGCATCTCGTTGTCGCCAAGCGGGTCATGCACACCGCACAGTCCATGAAGGTAGCCTCCGTAGACACGGCATGGGTGGTTCGTAAACAGAGGGGGGCTGGGTGTGTGGTCCGGCGTTGCCAGGCAGCGGGAGCCCGCGGCGTAAGGCATCCGTTGGAGCTGTGTGTCTCGCGAGCTATGATGGCCTATTGCTGTACAGCTGCCTGAGCTGCTGCAGTGGGGGGCAGCTGGTAGGCTATAGGGGGTGGGGGGTGGGGAGGCAGGCTCGGTTTAAGAGAGGTTGAGGATAGGTTTTAGAGATTCGGGGTTCGGTTGAGGGGTGTGTCTAACAATTTTGACCTCTCTTAAATCGGCAATTCTCTTAAACTTAGCTCGCTTGAACCGTAGCCCCCACTGTACTTTGTAAAGATCGTATCCCCCCCCAAGGGTCTGTGCGAAAAAAAATTACGGACACATGGCCCGCCCCCCCCCCCGGGAGGGGGAAGAAATTCGAAAAGTCATGTAACATGAATCGTCGAAAAAATTCCGTGAGGTTGCAGTAGATGGATATAGTAAAGGTGCCTCGCTCTCGTTACCCGTTCGTTCTGCATCATCGACCTCGTCGTCATCGATGCCGGCCCACACTTGTCACCCTGTCGTGTACTACACGCACAAACGGAAACAAGCAGCCTAGTACGCGTATAACAAATAGTACGAAGAAAGTACAGCAGTTACAGTAAGTAGAATACGGTACTCTAGTACAGTCGAGGGCCCGCTATAGTGCGGGTATGTGCCAAGCCAAAACACCCGCACTATAGCGGGCACCCGCACCATATGATTTCGGCCCTAAATAGTGCGGGAAGGCGCACTATTCGGGTCAACCCTGAATCGTGCGCCTTTCCGCACTTTTCGCGAAATGACTAGGACAAAGTACTGTACGCAACAAGCGAGGGACAGAACAAGATGTGTGGCCTTTGTAGCAGCGTGTAGACGCCTGCGATTCGTGGGCGAGAGTAGAACACGCAACCCAGCGGTGGAACTACATCCGTCCATGGTAGAACAGATCACAGCTACACACTTGGTGCATGACATGTACATCGCGAGAGCATGTTTGTCTCAGCCCGTGCTGTTGGCCCAATCCACCGTACGCGTACGTTGGATACCCTTGAATCATTTTGTATTATTGAGAGGCTAGCATTTTGACGCCAAGTGCTTCATGTAGAGAAGAGAACACACACACGCACACACAACCGAGGAACTTGAAAAACAACATTCAGAACCATTCAGAAGTCGCGCCGATACCCACCCACAGGTAGGTGTAAAAAGCAAAGGGGGAACACTTCAAAAGCAGAGACGACACAAGCAAGGGCCCAGCTTCTCAGCTCCTTTCACAAAATGTCTCGACAAATTTGTGTGGGGCTGGGTGGGGTGACACGCGAAGGAAGAAAAAAGCGACAAAAATCCGCAAAAAATTAGCCCACATTCCACACATGTACTGCTGTACTGCAGACACCCCCATGTATTCGCTTCCAAAAAAAAGGAAAAAACAACACAAGAAACTATGCGGCAAAACTGCTCATTGCTCGCTGCCAAAGTACGCCCTGACATCAGCCTGGCGCGATGGCTTCGATGCATGCGCTTCGATCGCCGCACTCAGGGCGGAGTGACGTCAGAACTCGCACTATAGAGGGTCTGGAATGGGACCAAACCCGCACTACAGAGGGGTTTCCCGAATAGTGCGGCACCCGCACTACAGAGGGTCCAAGTTGTGCCAAGCGACTTCGCCCGTACTATAGCGGGCCCTCGACTCTAGCACGAATTCGGTCCATTCATCAATTGGAAAAGGTCATTGACCAGCTTTCACATTGAACCACCTGCCTTGCAACCTTGCCCTTGCCGCCTCCTCTATCTGTAGAACTGCACATCAGGGAACAACATAGTCTCGCTAATCTACTCGAAGCCTTGGTCTTCTTGTAGGGTTACGTTTGACTTGACCAATCGGCCACACGGACGGGCGACTGGTGGACTATAGCGGCTGCCCCTGGGGTATGTATGCATGCGAAGATTGCGATGATGACCCTGAAGTGTGCAGGGTGTCTACCATCTCTCGGGGGTCTCCACAGCTCCACAGAGAGAGCCAGCAGCGCCAGCGCTGATGCACACCATGCGAGAAGCACCGACGCCTCGGCAGAAAACCCGGGGATACAAGGGTATATCCCCTCCCTCGAAGCGCTGATGCCTCGGCGGAAAACCCCGGGATACATGGGTACATGTCCCCCTCCCCACCCTAAATGACCCCGAGGCGCCGACGCCTCGGCGAAAACCCCAGGGATGCATGGGTGTATGTCCTCAGCCCCCCCCCAAATGACTCCCCCCCCCCCCC